CGCGAAGGGAAAAAAGGGGGCGCGATAATACGCCACCATCCCCCAGCCCCATTCCCATCGCTGTTGTTTCTCCATCTCAAAAACTCTAGTGAACTCCTTCAAAAGAACCCAAACGGCACCCCTCATCTTCATCTACACACCCAAAAACCAAAAATAATGGCACCCCCTTGACCATCGGCGACCTCACTCATCTCACCCCCTTCCAAAACACCACAGCCACCGTCGACCTCGCCTGAACCAAAACAGAAACAAAAAATTGAGTGGGGGAACAGAGAAGGGAAACGAAAGAAGCTGGAAATGAGATGATGGAGGGGAACGACAAAATAGTGGGAGGGGATTTCTGACCTTTGTCTTTGGATAGCTACATACACGCAAGAACACCAAGATACACACACACACTTTGAGATTTCCCTAATGTAAAACTCATTAGCCAACTATAAACCAGAACACATAAAAAAATTCTGTTTCATCTCCCCAATTTCGAATTTTTGCTTTTCCAGAATGGAGTTTGTTTGAGTGGTTTGAGTTCACGACGAGGTTCCGTCTGTTGTTCCAACAAGGTTTTCCATCGCGGATCTACCACATGTTGTAGTAGCTATTATTCCAACTTCAATAAAAGTCCTCTGTATATTCTAAGTCTGATATTGCTTCACTCAAGGTTCATTTTCTACTTTAGATCTTTATTTCGCGCATAACTTGATGTATAATGTTGCTGAGATTATATTACTCGTGTACTGCATATATTTTTATATGGTGATTCGTTCTTAGTTTGGGAATTGTCATGAGCTGATAGAGTTCTCTGAGTACACTAGTCAAATCATTGTTGGTTTATGTCTGCTCCGTCCATGTTTCATGCGTCAAGTGAAAAGGAAAGGTCTAGCTAGAAATTGTGTGCAATTTAGTAGGATGTAGACCAATTATAGGGGTTGATGGATGTCACCTGAAAGGACATCGAAAAGGTGGGCAACTATTGACTGTTGTAGGTGTTGATGGAAATAACATCATGTATCCAATTACATATGCTGTAGTAGAAGGTGAATTAGAAGAAACATGGTGTTGGTTTCTCACTCTTCTTGATGAAGACCTAGGAATCTCACAAAACCCTTTTGCATGGACTTTTATTTCTGATAAGCAAAAGGGTCTACTTCCAGCTTTTGATGAGGTACTTCCAGATGTTGCACACAGGTTTTGTGTGAGGCACCTGCACATCAACTTTAAAAATGAAGGTTTTGGGGGACAAACACTGAAGGAAGTCCTACGGAAAGCTACAAGGGAAACTACTGAAGCTCAATTCCACAAGTATATGGAAGAAATGGAAAAGTTGAATTCAGAAGCCCCTCAATGGTTCAATAATAAGCATCATATTCACTATTCCGGAGCTTTTTTCTCTTCTTTCACAAAGTATGATATGCTATTGAACAATTTATGTGAATCGTTCAATAGCGTACTATTGATTGATAGAGACAAGCACATTTTGACAATGCTCGAGTCAATTAGGTTGCACATGATGTGAAGATTTCAGAAGAATAGAGATAACATGATGAAGCATGAGCACAAAATCTGTCCAAAAATCTTGCTGAAGTTAGAGTAAAATAAATCTAACGCTGCTGAATGTATTGCCACTAAAGCTGACCAGTTCCATTACCAAATTGAGGACATCTATCTTAGACTATTCTCTGTTGATCTTAAGGAGATGACATGTTCTTGTAGGAGATGGGAGTTAACTGGAATACCTTGTCATCATGCAATTGCAAGTATATAGGTTAAAAAGGATGAACCAGAAATGTATGTCCATGAATGCTACACAACTGAGTCGTATATGAAGAGTTATGGACCCTCAATCCTGCTAATTAATAGCTCCGAAGAGTGTCCTAAGACAGGAGTAGAACTAGCGCTGCCACCCATTTACAAAACACAGCCTGGTAGACCGAAAAAATTAAGAAAGAGAGGATCCAATGAGACATCTTCAAAAGAATCAGATCATAAAAAGCATAACTCGTTAAAAGCATCCAGAAAAGGAAAAAAAAAGAACTGTGGTATATGTGGAAAAACAAGACATAATAGTAGAAGATGTCCTATTATCATGCAGAACCACCAAAAAGATGTTCCACAACAACTTTGAAGAGAAGGCCCTTCTAGTGAACCAAGCAACGTAACATAAGTAAATACTCCAAATGTATTCTTTTATTTTATTTTTGTATTCTTTTCATATGAGTTGGTTAAATTTATTAAGACTAAAACCACGAAATATTTTGTTTACTGCAGGTTACAAGTATTATCGATGAGATTCAAGCATCAATGCAGTCTAGTTCCGCATTTGTGACTAAACAAACAGTAATTACATTTTTTAAATATTTATATTTAGAATTTTTTTTAATATCTATGTGGTAAATATTGAACTCTTTTTTGATTATTAAGTGGTAAATATTGAAACTTACCAGTTGCCTTGTGTTCTTTAATACATATGTCAGATCAATCAACTTAACTAGCAAATGGCACAGCCTAGAGAGCAATTAAAGAGTTCGGCATTCATTTTAGAAGAAATTGGCGAGCACTCTAGGGAAGGTACAAGCTCACTCTTCATCACGAGGGGGGAAAGACAATATGTTCCACCATCAAGATTACGGGAAGCACTTTCTCGAACTAGTAAGAGAGGAAGAAAGGGACAGCTTAAGAAGAGAGCTATTGGCTCATCATAAATAAAGAAATCAAGAAAATGATGGACAAGGAGTGTGTGATTTCAGATCTATTTCATCTTCGATGACTTTAAAGTTAGTTATATTCTTGGTGATGGATATGTATTTTAAAGACACCATTTTCAAATCTATTTTTTTTGTGATGACTTTAAAAAATTGTCATTTTAAAAGAACAAGTAGCTTAATTCTTTCAGATTCCTACTTTGAATGGCTAGCCTCCCTACAGGAAGGTTCATTCTAAAGCACTATTATCAAAGCACTGATGCCCCAAAAGTAACAAACTAACAACATAATGGTGGAGGATTATCTGTTTAACATGACTACATGGGAGTGTGCAGATATGCCTTTGTCTTGTTGCTAAAATGCCAAATGGAAGTCTCAACTTTGGATAGATTGAAAGAATAGGCGATTGTTCAAACTAATACAATATACTAGCACTAAGAAACATGACTACCACATCTTCTGACCAACTTCTATTTATTTACCCTTTCTTCAAGAGAGTGTGGGGAGAAAGATTACATTTATGTTCTAAAATTTGTCGTCATATATCACAAACCACAGACTATATCATCGCTCATATTGTACTGTTTATTTACAATAGTAAAGTCTTTCTAATTATCAAAAAGATCAAATCTCAGCATATATAAAACTAAATCCACTAGAAGAAAAGAATTGCAAAGAGCTTAAGTAACACATATTATTATCCACAGAAAAAAATTAAAGAAATGAAAAGAGCACATAATCCACATAAAAAAGTTAAACAATAGACAAAATTCTCTAAATATAGGAGCACAGCTCAAAACAAATGGCAACAAAGTTAATTGTCCTTTTTTACACACATCGGGGTTCTAGCGGAAAGTCCAATATAAGTTTTCTAATGCTAAAGGGAAGCAGAGATCTCCCCCTACAGTATCTTGCAACAATCACTAAACAGGAAGCTTGAAAGAATCTCACAATCACCACTTTTGCGCTAGTATAGAATGAAAGTAATGCTCAGTGAGTATTTTGGGAGAACTCTGCTTATCTTCCTTTTTTTAAAAATAAACTAATACAAACATATATATATATATATATATATATACCTTTTTTATAGGATTAACCTACCACATCATTCAACGAGTAAAATATTGCTACGTCCTTAACAATCTTAGAAAAAGATAGAAAATGGAACAAGTTCTTTTATTTTTTCTGGTTGAAGGTGAAAATGACTATACCCTTCTTTAACATCTATGAAGATTATAGTCACATTCAAAGCAAGAATAGGGTGATCCCTATCAATTCTATGATGATGTCCACCATGATGTTGCTCATTCACGTGCAAATGACTCAATGACCGATTAACAACTTTAGGCGCGGTAGACCATAATCCCCACAAGAAATGTCTCAAGAAATTTAAAATAGTAGAAAACATAGATGCATAGAGGTATTGAATACTAGAAGTAGTACAATACCATCAAAAAATCTAAAGAATGTCATTCAATACCTCCAGCAGTAACCAAGAGTACACCAGAAATTCCAAGAGCTCCAAAAGTACCGCTGCATACAACTTGATCTTTCCAGCTACTGCTTTTGTAGCTTATGTGACAACACTACTTTCACTTTTAATCTTCATTAATCAAGCTATACCCCTATTTTCTAACGAATTTTACAAGCTTATTCCAATTTTTTATTCTAGAAATTCCTAGAATCTAAAGCTCTAAAAAACATGAGAAAGCCTAGAAATCGGACAAGATATCCAGGTAGCAGCTTAGATTTTGCAAATTAAATGATGTTGGAACCAAGAGAGTAGTGCATTCACCCAACCTAGCTCAAAATTGCGAAAATCGAGAAGAGACAACGAGAGTTAAATAAAATTAGAGAAATATACACAGAATCACGAGTACACTATGGAATCTTCGCAAGAACCGGTGGGTTTTGTTCAAATGTAGCTCAGATGAGCTCGCGCTCGTCGGATAGAGAGAGAAAAAGCATATAGATAGAAATAGAAACAAGCATCAGATCTAGCTCAAATGAGCATGTTCTACGAAGAGAGAAAAATAGAGATAGAGAGAGGGAGAGAGAGCTCTAGCAGAGGATAGAAGCAAACGAAAAGTGTAATACCAAATTTATCCCTCGATTAAGCGATCCCCGTTAAAAAAGTTTAGGTCTGTTAGTTGAAGGATCAAAACCACTCACATGATATAATTGAAGGTTAGTAGTGGTAAGTTGGATAATACAAGGACTAAAATCAGAATATAGTTATAATACAGGGACTAAAAGTGCTATTTCCTCTTTACGAAATGATAAAAACATGCGGAAGAAGCACAAAAGTTGTAGTACCATACGAGATGAGGTAAACTGAAGTTGCTTGTCCACCACGTGCTCCTTGTTGAAAGAGAAAAAACGAAAAGAGGTTTGGTCAGTGAGGTCTTTGCAACCCATTTTTCCACCTAGCCGTCGCCCTCCCTCACTGCGGCGCCACCCTCCACTTTCCTCCATTTTCACTTTTCTTAGTAGTTCACGTAGCTAGGGTTTTATTTTCTCTCTCTTTTCATCAGGTATATACCTCTGTTTGTTTCCGTCTGAATATCACAAAATCCCTTTATTCCCACAATCCTTTTCTTTATTTTAAATTTTAGTAGTCTAGTTTGAATATTCTGAGTGAAGACTTTTAACCCCTTTTCATTTGACCATCTGAAATTCGAACTTGTCAGTTTTCTACTTTGTATCTGTGCTCTCAGTAAGTAATTTTTTGTTATTAATTAAGGATTTGTGCAAGGCGGATGTTAGAGGCTGATCTGTGTGTTAGATAGATTTGTAATTTGTTTGTCCCTATAGATGGCTTGTTTAATTGGGTTTCCTTAGTTTATTTTTGCTTTGTGGGCTTTAGTTTAGATTTTGGATCTAGTTAATTTTGTGTGCAAATGAATTGGTGTCTTTTGATTGTTAATTTAGTGGGAATACTTCCCCGGGGAGATGACTTTCTGAAGGTTTAGCCTGATATAAATACGGTCCGTGGCGTAGTCACATAGACGGTATATAGAAAAGTATGCTGGATATATAGGTCAATAGTTTTTATACATAGATATTAAATCTTACATATCCTTAGAGAAATTCCTGACTTCGCTGCAAATACGGTTTCCATTAATGGGTAGAGTTGCTTCTGAACTCTGCCTATATGAGCTCTGCGGAACATGGCCAGTCCTAGCTCAGATAAAAGTAGTGATTCACATAGGCGTGGTCTGAAAAAAACTAAAGCAACTTCTGTTTCATTTCATGTTCATCTTAACCTTAGTGATTTCTTGCTACAAAGCTACATCTGGGTACTTAGGTTTCTTCTTGTTTTGCGTTTTTTGGAAATCTAGTATGAAAATAGGTCCTATTTTGACTACTTTATGCCTTCAATTTCCCCCGTACTATTGAGTTCTGCTTAATTTTAAACTTCAGAGCTCAGCGTCTGTGGATAAGCAGATTGGGTTTCTGGTCTTTAGTACGTAGAGGAGTTGAATTGCTACCCTAGCCATTGCAGGCGGATGAGTATTAAGCTCACTTGTTTCAATCGATCTGCCTAAACTGAATAATCATAGAATGAGATATAAACCACTCCTGTAAGCATTTCAGGCTTTCTTATGTTAGTTTAACACCACATATGGGACTTTCAGAGAAACTAATCCTGTTGTTCTTTGCATGTTGTATTGAGCTTTTTCTTGTTGCCTTTATGTATAGTAAATGCAAGCATGTCTTCTACTTTTTATTTGGAGAAATAATTGGTATTTTTTTCCCTTGGTTATATGATGAAACGTTATTTGTTCTTGTCTGCGAGATGTTACTCATCGATTTTTCACATGAACAGATGTTATAGCAGGTATTCCATCTGAATAATGTTTCTGGCATTCAGGATGAAGCAGTAACATATTTTAGAGTATTCAGGATGAAGCAGTAACATATTTCTGAATAACGTATTCAGGAAAACTTTATGTCTTCTTTGAGTGGGCAGAGTGACTTGAAGTTTAACGTGTGAATTTGGTCACTGTGTTTTGTGTTTGATCAAAATGGATGAAAACGGTCTTGATCTGAGCTTGGGTCTGCCCTGTGGTGGAGGGGCTGCCTCCGAGAAAAGTAAAAGTGGGAGCTCATCGGATTCTAAGGTTGAGGAAGTTGATAGAGATGGCAAGGTGATCAATGATTTCAAGAACTTTCTGGATGGAGGCACTAGCAGCCAAAAGCATGATTCTGGTGTGGGTTCTCAGAGAAGTGATTCAACCAAACATGAGGGGAACTTGCTCTCCAGCATTAATGTGGACGTAGATGCTTCTAAAAAGTTAAATAGTGGAGGATTCTGGGTTCAAAATGATAGTAGACCAGTAGAAGTTGAAGAAGATAGGAGAGCTGATGTGGGTGACAAACGTAAAAATCTGTTCAGGGAGTCAAGTCAACAGAAGAAGCAAGAGAGAGAAGGTCATCATGCTGATACGCATGACAAGACCAGGACATCACACATTTCAATAACCACAGATGAGGGTTCGACTGCAGAAAATGAAGATGTAGCTGATTCTGAAACTGTAGGTTCAACATCCAGGCAGATTTTGCAGCATGATGAGAGCTCCAAGAGATTTGTTGGAAGTAGTGGTTTAGCTGAGGTTCATAAGGAGCTTCGCAGTGTTCCTGCTTCAAGTGGTGTAGAATTAATAGGACAAAGAAGGTTTACTATCTCTTCAGAGAAGGATGTTAAGTTTGGGAATATACCATATACTATCCCATTCCAAGGCCAATCAATAAACATCATGAACCTGCCTTACTCTATGCCTCTGAATTCTAACACTGTTAGTACAACAAGTACGACTAGTTACCCAGTTCCTGGCGTGATGCAAGTGATGGCTACCACAAGTGGAGATAGACCAGGAAGCCAGCCTGTCATACCTGCAAACTTGCCATTAATGTTTGGCTACTCTTCTGTACAGCTTCCAACATTGGACAAGGATAACCTCCGCGGTGTGGCTTCTCATCTTCAACAGCTTCACCCTTCCCATGGAAGAGGTCCTCTGGGTTCAGATATGCAGAAAGATGGACCAAATATTTCTCAAGGTTTTCTTTTTAACTCTATGGATTTTCGTTTGGACCAAAATGATGAAAAATCTTATTTAGAGGATCCCTAGCACTTGACAAATAATAGAAAGAATATTTTGGAATGACCAAAAGAAAGCTAAAAGTCTGTGAATCTTCAGGAACGATAACGCCAGATTAAAATAGTGAAAGACCTCATGTTAAAATAGATACTACAATCATCTCAAGGATTCTGAATAATCTAAAACATCTGAATTTTCCTCAACTGACTTCTGCTTACACCAGAGCAGTAGATTTTCTAATCACTTAAATTTGACAACTGAAACATGCTTCTTCTATCCATCAAAACATCTTCTATTTCTTTCATGCCAAATGCTCCACATAATGCAGAAAGGGTCTGTTCTCCAGATCTTTCCTTGTCTGCCTCCAGTCATTTGTCCCTAATATGAATTTATACATGATTTACAAGTTTAACCTCACTATTCTCTCTTGTAAGGGGGATGTGTAAGGCGGCTTATGCAATAATTGTTAACTGTTAAATTCTAGAAGCATTGCTTTTTTAAATTAAATGTCTTGCTTTAACTTTGGCACAATTTGTTTTAGAATTTGAAGGGGAGCCTTGGAGCAACGGTTAAGTTGTCTCTGTGTGACCTATAGGTCACGGGTTCGAGCTGAGGAAGCCGCCACTAATGCTTGCATTAGGGTAGGCTGTCTACATCACACCCCTGAGGGTGCGGCCCTTTTCCGGACCGTGCGTGAATGCGGGATGCTTTATGCAACGTGCCCTTTAGTTTGTTTTAGAATTTGGAGTGCAAAGGTGGCATTAAAATGTGATAATATAGTTCTATACAGTTTGTGTACAAAAAACTATAAAAGTAGCTTTTAAACAAAATATTTGCATGAACTTTGAAAATTTTACAACTACTTTTTGTGTAAAGGAAAACTTTTAGAAGAACATGAGTCTATTTTTGATGTTTTAGATTCCTTGTGAGAAGACCAAGCATTAAGAGTTTTTTTTTCCTCTCCTATGTAATTATGGGTGACTCCACAGTTTTTGTGTAGTCTTTATATTAATATACAATATGTTACCTTCTAAAAAAAAATGTCACCCTTGATGTAAAATGAACTTGGTTCCTTAGACTTGTGAGGTTGAAGGTTGTGAGCTTACTTAAGTTTGGATATTGAGCACCTGTTATTTGTGGAGATAAATTATTTTGTCTTTTTTCCCCCTAGAATAGATAAATAATTTATTATAAGAGCATCAGCAGGATGTAACCTCTATACATCACAGTAAATGAAGATCCAAAACAGGCATTCACAGCCCATACTTAATCAACATGTCGACCCTCCCTAAATTAAGGAAAGATGATCAACCAGTTATTATTGCTGCCCAACTTTTGTTTCCTTTATTTATTGCCAAGTACCTAAACTCCCTTTCCTGCTTAATTGGGTTTTCCTGTTCATGCTCATTCTTATCTTCATGTTCCTTCTTGACATTTGACAACTTTCAACCTGCATCATTAGTCTTTTTGTCCGTTCCTCTTATACACCTATTGAGATGCCCTTAAATTGCCTAAAACTTCTAATTTGCTGCATGCGATGCCAAGAATTCTCGACAAATACCAATTTGTTACATTTTGGATCCTGCATTGTCACTGTTGTATAGATAAATATATGATTTGTTAATTCAATAATTGTCCAGCCTTATGACTACTAAGAAGTTCTTCTACTTGCTGTGTTTATGTAGCTACTACGTCATCTATTCCGCACAAGTCATCTGATTCTGTACAATATGATGGGAGGGCAATGGAGCATGTGAAAGGCAATGGGAGACAGCATAAGGCAGAAGAAACTTCCAATTCTCGAGGGGAGGAAAATGTGAAAGGAAGCAACATAAGCTTCAGGGCAAAAGACCCTCCTGACCAGCCCAGAGCAGAAGCAGTTCCTTCTGAATTTTCAACTATTAGGCCAGGTCTTGCTGCAGATTTGAAATTTGGAGGATCTGGTTCCTACCCGAATCTACCGTGGGTCTCAACGACTGGTCCTGGTCCAAATGGTAGAACAATATCTGGTGTTACTTACAGATACAGTTCCACCCAAATCAGGATTGTCTGTGCTTGTCATGGGTCTCACATGTCACCAGATGACTTTGTGCGGCATGCAAGCGTAGAGCAAACTAGTCAAGAACCTGGCACTGGGGTTTCATCATTTCCAAGTAGCAATCCGGCTGCCTCTGCCCAAAGCTGATTTTGAATATAAAATCCTGTGCTGAAGAATGAAGTCATCTTTCCTTGTATCTTCAAATAAATGTAGGAAGCAGAAGTATCTTCATAGTTCAAATGAATGTGTTTCTGCATATATCTTGATGCATATGCACATATCCCATTACATGCTGTTAGTCTAGCCTCTGAAATTGATATGCTAGCAAAATATTTGTAATAAAGTATAACTTTTTCTTTATCAAGTATATCATAAGCGCTCTCCGGGCCTTTCCATTTCCCCGCACTGGGAGGCCTATTGAATAGGAAAGTCCCTATTGTTAGTGGCCCAGTTATTTTAGTGCAAGCCGAAGAGGAGTGTCATGGCATGTATGTGAGAAGAGTTATGGAGTACAAGGGCTGGCTATTGTTTTCTGTGGATATCTGTTAGGCACCTTCCTGGAAGAGTTACTCCTAATTGTTACTCCTGAAGTAACTATAAAATAAAAATGAATTTCTCCTGCTCCGTAGGTTATTTTTCATGTTTTATTTGGGTCCGCAAACTGCAAATGATGCACAATGTTTTTTTTATATGTTTCTGTTAAAACACAGATTGAACCTCAAATCTCGGAGAGAATTAGCTAGGATTCTGATGAACAAAGAGAGTTGAAATGTTGTTACTGTGTTTTCAGAGAAAAAATCTCGTTACTTTATGTTGTAGAAGTTGTTACAAGTTGTTTTATATAATGGGCCTAATGACATATGACATAACAGGGCTTGTGACCCGGTACAAAATAAATACACATTGTGTGTTCAGGTAGGAGCTTCACTTTGGACCGGAGCTCTACATTGGGCGTGACTATGTGGAAGTCCAACACCCCCCCCCCCT